CGCAGAATCACAAGATGGACTAAGAAGGAGGATGCTCTATTGCACCACCTCATGGCGTATGTGCACTAATCCAAACATCACACGATGATAGGATGGGTGGGAGACTCCTTGGGAGATTCCTCCATCGGGTTGTTTGCAGATGCGGACTATGCTGGCTATGGCGAGAGTTTGAAATCCACCTCCGGTGCTCATATGCACATTCAAGGTTCTCACACAAGATTTCCCTTGGCTGGACTCAGCAAAAGGCAGGGGTGCCTCAGTCACTCCACACCTGAGGCCGAGATTGTTGCGGCCGACTTTGCGATGTCTCGTCTGGGCCTGCCTGCTATCACACTGTGGCAGCAGCTGGGGGGGTTCTGACCCCAACTTCGTCTTTTATGACGACAACCAAACCATGATCGGAGTGATCCGCACTAGCAAGAATCCCACCATGCGCCATTTGGAACGAACCCATGGCATCAGCATCGGTTGGATGCACTCTATCTTTCAGGAAGGTTATGTATCCCTTGCCTATGAGGTCACTGCCAAGATGGCTGCGGATATTCACACGAAATCGTTCAAGGACTCCGTGTCTTGGACTCACGCGTGTCAGCTGATCAACATCTTTCCGCCGTCTGTCATTCTGTCATTGGTTCCCAGGAGATCATGGACCTGATGCGTCCCACTCATTCACAAAGTAAGGACGAGAAGGGCCATCAATATTACTCGTTCAAGAGCGAGGTTCCTTGCTTTCCATACACGGAGACCCCGGTACTGCCTCAGGTGCTGTACCGAGCAGGCTTATCCAGTAAGGAGGGTTTACAGGAGCACGATTCAGCACGATAGCGTCGACCCTATTCTGGTTGTCAAGTTTCCGTGCGTGTTGCGGGGGCCGCCTTCTGTGTTGCCGCCATGTCGTTACCTTCGGTCGACTTGGATTCTTCGCGAGGGGCAGTGGAGGATCATGCTGTCACCCCGGATGCCCCGGTGAAGTTTGATCGCTACGTGGAACGTGCTGTTCATCAGTTTCACCCAGTTCGCGGACAGCTTCGTTCGGCCGCGGCGTCCGCTGCCTCACGTTCCGTGCCAGACCCACCTCCGCTTGGACAATGGTTTGTGCGCGCCCTGCCTGCCAGGTGGCGGTCTTTGGCTGCCGCTCTGGCGCGCGCCATCCATGGGTGGTATTAGGGCTTCACTTTACCTCTTCGTTTCAACGGTCGACCCTATTCATATCGAATTCCGTATATTGGGGACACCCGATGGACCACCGTTGTTGAGGAAGTATGGGAACATATGGCATGTGTGAGGCATGAACAACAAGGCCATGGAGAGGCGATTGTACCACACATCGTTGAATTCAAAGAAAACTCCAAGGACGGCCTGATCATCGAATTCCACGACCATAACGACACTCTGGTTCATAGGTTTACTAAACCATCTAGTGAATTCTCGTACAAGATCGTCGTCAAAGACGCGCCGAAGAAGGTCACAGTATGGACCGTGATCGGTGTGGACGAGGATAATTGGTGGAACGAGTACGCCCCGGGCATGGACTGTATGAGGGAATTTGCTCCAGGTCCGTATTATGACCCAAGTGCTCAGTTAAATGTCCTGTGTACAGGCCAGCAAGTCGATGACGCGATGTGCTCGTACCTCTTCGACGTGATGAACTCGCGCCAGAAGAACCCGAACTCGGTGATTTTCATCGGTGCAGGGGTATTGGGGAAGAGCTCATGGCTGGATTGTAAAGTCACGGAAAACTTCGAGAAGATCAAATTTCGGACTGATTACCCATGGGGGGAGGTCGTCGAAAGAATTGCGCGCAAGGCAATCCTTTCCGGGACCCAAGTGATCATCGAGGTACCGCCCGAAGCCGAAGTCAAAGATACCAAGCAATATAAAATGCTACTGGAAGACGAGGCATGGAGGTGCGTCAAGATCGATGGTTGCACTCATGGTCAAAGATTGGTCATTGAGGGTCCAGGGGCCGAGCATACCGTTGGCTATTGCAAGGTTGAATGGGAGTACTTTGTCGCGAACGTCAAAATGTGGCCAAAGTCATCGGACCGATGTCAAGCCGGGCACCTACATGTCCGGGAAGATGACATGGTTCAGCACGCCAACGAGGGCAAGAGATCGAGCCAGGTTTCTCGTCGGCTCCTTAACTCATTGAAGTTTCGGGCCGTCAATGAAAGAAAGCTTATCTCGATGCCCGCTGGTTCAACCAAGGGCCATGTTGACAGCATCATTGTGAGTCTCGATGATGCGGGCGGTGGCTTAGCCGAGTCCAACATCAATCAGAAGAAAGATGGATGCGTCAGAATCCAGTGCGAGGGGCTCTTAAGCTCTACTGCACAGGAGGACGAACTCATTGGTAAGCTGAAGAGTTCCTGCAGGAACGACCTTCGCACACCTGTGCTATTCGTGGCATCGCTTTCGCGTTCAGGTGAGGGTTTTCGGGGGGTTGATGAGTCTCGTGTGGGGGGGTGGATCGATACCTGGGGGGAAGTACAAACGTTTTAGGAGTGTGTTGAAATCTCTCAAGTGCCTACTGAAGAAGTGCGCGGGGTTTTCCAACGTTTTCTTTTCACTTGACATGCCGTCATCATGTTCATGTTGGTCATGGCCCGAATTGCATGCGCTTGCTTCGAGCAGCAAGGTGAGAAGGACCAAGGTCGCAGATCATGTCGATGCTACAGGTAGATTAGTAGGACGTCGGAGTGTGCTCTCTAGCATGACTGATGTTGAGAAGCTTGAGGACACGTTTCATGAACATGTCAAACGAAAGTGCAAGTGCAGCCTGCTGCAGTGTGTTGATGGAATTTGGAGGTCATTTGCTGATCACGTGCGCAGCCTTGTTCACTCTCATGCCAGAGCCGGTCATGTTAGTCATGATACTAAGGACAGCGTGAGGGACAATCATCGGTATTTCGGTACCAACAGCGGGGTCAACAACAGACCCTGTGGTGTGAACAACTAAGGCGCGGACGCGGCGGAGCGGGGAAGGGCAACCCTTCACGGGGGTCCGGAACCGTAACGCCTGCATAGGGAGTAAGCTACTTCCCACCTTGCGTGGTGGTAGTGGATCCCTGAGCCATGGCCTACCAACCTGACGCCACTGAACTGACATTCCAAGGTATCGATATCGAGGATGTCTTTGCGGGGACGGCACTCAGCATGTTTCGGAAGTATGAGAAATTCCTGCAGATGTATCTGAACGATCCCAACAACACCACGCCTCTTCCTGCAAAGATCGTCAAGGATCGGGCGATGGGTAATGATGGGGTTCGTGCTTGGGCAGCCTGGAAAGCTCTTAGTATTCGCTTGCGGCGGTCTTCCTCCAACGGAGATGTTGCAGTACGAGTCCGGGAGATTGTGAAGGCGTGTGTACTGGCCAGTTCAGTCGAATGGCAAGCCAAACCGTACGGCGAGGTGCTTAACGCAATCGTTCGTGTGCCCTAAAGCATCTGACAGGAGACAAGCAAGCACTTTTTCCCAACATTCTACAGTACCTGGTCGACATCCAAGTTCTGAAGCACGAGGCATCGCTTGCGGTCACAGAGCTGTCGCAGGACAATGATGGGGTTCGTTATGACCTGACCACCTCTGCAGCAGAGATAATTTGCAATCCCAGCTACTATACAACATGGACTATGTCGCCAACAACGTCGAAGTCCCTATAAGGTCGGTTGTTACCGCCCGTACGGACATGTGGTATGTCGTGAATCAAGACTGCTACAATCGCGCTGTGAATGGCTACACCCGTGCTGAGGATCAAAGCGAACTGCTGACAGAAAAGAAGCTCAGGAAACTATGTGGCATCATGTATGAGTTTGCGAAGCAGATGGGATATGGCCTGCGGACCTACAACAGGGAAGCTACCCAGCCGTCGCCCTCTTCAGATTCGTCTGGGGTTATCAACGTGCATCAGCTAGTTGGAATGCTTCGGCATAGCCCTGCGAACATGGGCCATCCTCTCGCCTACGCAATCAATTCCATGCAAGCGTTCCTTGTATGCATGAACGTGATCCACAGCTATACCAGTTGGAGAGAACAGTTCACCGCTGTTCCCTTCTACAATTGGTCAGAAACCATCATTCCAGACTTTGAGACCAACACGCTTGGGTTCCTCGAGCATCACTTGGAGGCCGTGTGCAAGTCACAGGCTGACGGAGAGCTGCAACTGCCGTTTATCACGAAGTTGCATGCCTGGAATCAGTTATCGGTTGAAAGCGGCGGCGTCCTGGAATGTGTGGCCAAAAGGAACGCTATCAAAGCGATTGAAGAAGAGTTCTCTACGATGGCTGCGCCGGCACCTCTGTTCGACGGAGATGGATTATTTCCTCCGAAGCTTCAGGCACATCCTAATTGGGTCTTTGATACTGGACGTGTTGAGACTCCATGGACAAGCCCTTACGAGCATGAAGGAATTCGTCCTCCGAATCATGATGCAGAACCGGAACACGGAGAAGGATCGACGGCCATGCCAAAGGCCACGCCTAGCCACGGACCGATGAGGGCGCGAACTGACGAACCACGGGCTTCATCGTCTTCGTCAGGTGCGCACCAACCTCCTCCGCAGCCTGAAGCCGAACCACTTCATGACAACTGGGAAGAAGTTCTTCACCCAACCGGTACAGAAGGATATTCATTTCGATTCTTCAAACTGGACGGGACCTTGTGTCAGTCTACATTGGCTGTTTCAAGGAGCAACATCAACGACTACCCTGCAAGCGTAGATGAGATACCGCGATTTTCCAGCAACCCGACCCATGGAATCATTGCGATTGAGCACTACATCCGGCGCCTCGTGACCTACCTGGCAAGGCTACAATCGGTGACCAACCGCAAAGAAAAGGGTCTGAACCTGGGAGCATATGTGAAGTTGGATACGAAGGAATGGTTGCGTATGTATGCAAGACTCCACCATGCGTGTGAGCTGACTACATGCTTGCAGCTTCCTGATCCAATCACTTTGACCGCGTGTGCCCTTGTCAAAGAAGCTGACGACCTCTCTGCAGGAGCCGGCGGCGAAGCAGTTGATCGCGCGATCAAGGCTATCAACACCATGCGGAATGGACTGGGATTTGGAGGGCGCCCAGATGCGGCTCCAGCAAGGTCCCAAGTGACCGTTCTCATCATGGACTACAACCTCGCGTCTGCTAACCGCGCAACACGCTCACAGGTCGACATCAATGAGAGCTTGCACAACAAGGGGTGGGCGGAATTGATGAAAATCGGCCCAGACTATGATGGTCATCCAGATGGAAACTATGGCTGCTCTCATGTCGCCGAAACATTGCAGAATGCGCTCGATTCCATCAAGGTGATGTCAGAAGAGCAACGGGCAATGGCGACGGTGCACATACATCTCACGCTTCAGGCGGTGATGGTGGACAATATCAACTGGCCTCTCAGTGAAGTGGGCGATGGAGCATCCGTGAAAGGGCAATGGAAAAGTTGAAGGCCACCTACGTCGATCCCATTGTTGAGATTGCACGGCTTACGAGCAGGGCACCTATCATCAACATCAACCATGATCACCGCGTCAACGCTGCCGGGAGCCAAGCGCTACGGTCAGTTGCGGAAAACTTCATCGGTTTTGTTGCTATGGGAGCCTATGTGACTTTGGAACTTCGAAATCGTGGATGCCTGGTCGTACACGGATCTACATTCTGGTCAAAGATCGCATGTCATTTGAAGCAGTCCAGCTCCGGCGCTCATGTGTTGTCAATGGAACCAGCGGACGGTACCAACGACCTTCACATTCGAGCTCACCGTGGATTTGCTGTCTATGAGAAACAGTTGTTCGCCGAGAAGATGGTTGCAGCGTGTCTCATGGACCACAACAAGATCAACGAATGGCGTACGCAGATCAAGACCCCGATCGTCGCCCAACAAAGCTTCGAAGACGTCTGGCAGGACCAAGGTGAGATCTCTGTGGCTATGACGGTGAATTCGGCAGAATGGTTCAATGAAGAAAGAAGGCAAAACATTATATCCGGAGCACAGGGTGACAGCATAGCTGAGCATTCCTCCGTGACCTGGCAGGACTTCGATATTGCCATGATTATGCCTGAGCCGTACTGTGACCACAAGCACTACTGGTTCAAGATCGACAAGTATGCCACCTCCGAGACAAGATATCAGACGGGGAAGGCATTTTACTGCGTCGGGTGCCGTGACATGAAGAGTATCGAACTGTTTACGCTAGCGGAGTTTGCAGTATCTGGCAATGGCTTCGCAGGGCACTGCATTGGTTGTGCGCACACTTCTGCCTTGAAGGTGCAAGCCGGCATCTCCGATGCGAGGGCCTGGTATGAAGCTCAAAGGTATGCACTGGCTTCGGCAATGTTCGCTTATGAGAGCACCTTGCAGTTCTATGTCCCGAGGGAGGACATTGTGGCATTCTTTGAAGCATGTGCCCCAGTGGCCTATACTGACTATGGCAAAACGATTTCTCACCACGGTGCTCTTCGTATCTCGCCAGCTCAGGCGGTGGAGTACGCCGGATGGGGTAAGGCCACACAGTTATCCTGGGACAGAACTTACAACAATCAAAATGATCTTCTTTACATCTGCTACTATGACGCGGGCAACTCAGTCTACGCTGGATTCATGAAAGCAATCCTCACGCCTGATGATCGAAAAGAGCTGTACAATGGAGTCCAAGATCCACGGGAGGAACTTCTTGGTGATACCCTGGAACTGGCATTGGGCATCCTGACTTTGGCTACGAGGTACCCTCAATATTTCGTCAACTGGGGTGGACCCGAAGACACCAACGCATGCGTGGGAGGAATCGAGAGGTCCGTGTGGCGTTATGCAGCAGCAGAAGCCATTGAGCTGATCCCAGCCGATTCCCCAAGGAAGCGGTCGACGCCCAGGCGAGACGCGCTGATTGAGGAGTACATCAACGGCCTTACTACCGGGCTCTTCGTGACGTATGAGGCGGAAGCTGATGAAGATTTCTTCACTACGTCTGCACCTTCTGACGGACAACAGGAAGAAGTTGGAGCGACTCCACCAATGCCACCTCCGACAAGAGAGGGTCAGCAACCTGAGGAAGAGACTGAGGTCACCCGTGATCCGGTATCTGAACTACATGAGGCTGTTAAGTCGAGACTGTATGCACACCTTGAGGAACTTCGTGGTGGACAGATCCAGGTCAATGCTCGCACGCTCACCATTTGTGTCAACTGCGGGTCGGCTTTGCACACCATTGAAGAGTGTGATATTCACCAGGAACGAAGAGACACCCTGATGTCGCTCCTCAATCACATGCGAGCTGTGGTACACGTGTATCCTATGCAAGTTCGTGAACGGAGACCGCCAAGCGACAGCTACTACGACGGCAACTGACAGGGATGATGCTATGTCGACTACAGCAACAGCTGGAGGCGAGGCTAGCACAGATGTTCCTATGCCGCCTGCTGACGAGAGGGCTCCGGCTGAAGGTGTTGAAACTGTAAGTTCCTCATCCAGTGATCGACCGAGAGCAAAAGCACGACCTCGGAGAGCGCCTGTCGCATCCGACACCATACTGGTCAGGTTCGACAACCCCAAAATCCTCGACAAGGAAGTTCACAATCGTGGTGGCACGGATCTGGTCTGCGGAGTTGACCTGAAGGATATCGGGCTCAGAAGTAACAGGGACGTTACTCACAAGATCGGGACTTCAACAAGTCATCGCGATCGACGTCTTCCTCAACGAGGTGACCAACCGCTGTATGCAGTGGATCCGCAAGGGGAGTATGTCAACCCTGGTTATGTTTGTGTGTCGGATAACGTGCACGGTGGTATTCTGGATTTGGTTCGTGATGATGGTGCGTACTTTATGCACAGAAAATGGTCCTCCATCAAGCCATGCAGGATCCGGGATCTTTCCCATCGCGCGATGAACACAGCGACATGGGCTATGTCGAGAATTCAAACTGATCTTCGTCACCACATTGGGAAAGCCCGAGGTACTACCAGTTTGGATGGGGTCAATGGACCAAATGCTTTCCATGAGATTCTCAGGTGTGACGAAGGCGGATGGGTGTTGATCGACGAGTTGGTCAGAAAGGTGGTGCTTTGGACACACGACAAAAGGAGAATCACCCTTGCGGCCAGTTCAACTGACGCGGACCAAAGGGAGATGATCTACAATGAGCGTGTCCAGCTGATCATCAACGGCAACTACATTGAACCCCGAAAGACAAGAGGCAAGATACGCCTTCAGTTCTTCGGAATTCGTGTCAAGGACCCTCCACCGGGACCTTACACATTTGGTGTCGTTGGATCCAACATGATGATCTCCAAACGTGATCAAGTCGTAGAGATCTTACAAAACCCATATACGAGAAGCAATCAAGCAGAACTCGATCAATGCGACGGATGGGTCAGACCATGGGCCGTTCGTGCAGTCAGCGGACACACTGAACATCCTGATCGCAGCAAGAACCTGATGGAGCTTGACAGGAGCACGTTTGCGATTTCTCCCACCATTTCGCTTATGAATGAGCTTGGAGGGGCCTATCATGCCACGGACTGTCGAAATGTTCGGGGAATAGTGGAACGGGGACTTGTTCCAGGTTCACTTCTCGATGCAAGTCCAAATGTTGGTCGCAGACAAGACCCAAGGAGGCTCCATAGCTTCTACGGCCTTTTCGCTCCGTGGGATCCTAGAAACGTCACCACCAAAGACCGTATCGACAGGAACCGCAACTGGGACCAACCTATGGTCGCTCTGTACATTCCCTCCAATGATCTCATTCGAGAAGGAGGAAGAATTACAGACAATGGCATCATCATCGTCCCGGAGGTTATCCCATTCAGCATGGTCAAGGAGGTGTGGTTCATGGTCCCGAGCAGTCGTCAAGCGCACCAGTTCGAGCTCGTCGAGAAGATCTTCGATGCTGAACTCGAGAACGAAATTGTGCTGGAGTACAAAGAATCTCCTATTCTAGGTGAATGAATTCACCAGGTTCAAGACGCCTGCACGATTAATGCAGCAACTCTGCGATGCACCTTTTGGTCCTCATCAAGCTGAAAAGGAGAGAATTATGCGCAATCTCGTATCGGCTTTGACATGAAAGAGGTAGTTGTGTTCATGATGAAGCACACTCGCCCAGGGGATTATGTTGGTGGAGAAGGACGCAATCAGATGAATCTCCGAATGTGCCCCGCCTGCTACAATCCTACTCCTGCAAGATTCGCGCGGTGCCTCACTTGCTGGTCATTGTTCATTTCATGTGGACAGTTTGTGCGAACGGAGGTCCCCACTGCGAGCCAGACTCCTGTGGAGGTTCCTACCAACAACATTGCACAGACCATGGAGGCGGCAACCGAAGCGGTGAACACAGAGATGCAAGAGGAAGAAGAGCCTGGCGACACGGAGGGTTGCAGAACCCGAAATGGAGATTGACGGTCTTCAATCTGAGGGAGAGCCGGAACCTGATGAGGAATTCCTGGCGAACGTTCAAGTGTACCAAGAAGAAGTCGCTCTTGATGAAGAACGCCGTCCAGTTCTCTTGCCCGGGAGCACCTTTGTATCGGACCCAGAGCATACACTTGCCCTGTCATCCATGCAACCACAATACTATCCCAACGCGAAAAGGGCAAACTGCGTGGACGCCGTCCGCGAGGCCTTTGCTTTCATGTCCTACATCTACTGTCGAACAATGTACAAGATATGGCCGACTACAGTTGCGTGGTTGTCTATGTCGTACCAGAAGATGCAAGAAAGGTTCGCGGAAGGAGCAAGGTTCGATGTCCTCGGCAAGTGGGAAACCCTTTGCCAAGCGGATTCACATACCTTGGTGAGCCGAGAAGTCACGGACGCCGAGATTGCCGCATGCAGTGAGAGCAAACGTGGATCCAAGCGAATCGATGACCCTGACGGGACATGGTTGACACGCAGATTCAGAGCCAACCAAGTTCTCTCCGAGCTCATCCGTGGAGCCGCGAGTTTGGGTTACACCAGGGACGATTTCAACGCATCGACTTATGTCAATCGCGGATTTACACCGTTCCAAATCCATCTCACATGCCTGCAACTCTTGCAAGAGATCATTCCCAAGGTTACAGGATATGTACGGTTCGCCACTCTTCGTTCTCCGCCGGCAACCAAGGTGGATTACCTCAACCTCGATATGGTGGGCGTGCTCATGGTCCAGAACCTATCCGACAACTCTGCGGAGGTGATTGGGTTTCTCATAGACCACAACATTCAAGTCCCAGCCAGAATGGTTGACAAGGTGGTGACCAGCAAACATGAACGAGAGAAGAACCCCAATTCCCGCAAGAACGCGATGAAGCACATCACTCACGCCAACTTCGTGGAACCGGGGCAACAATCGGTCATGGATCGACCTTTGACGGAAGAGGAAAGGGCCCGAGCTGAAAGTGCAGCAATGCCGCCCAGGAACCCTCGATCCGATCAATATGCTCAACGCTGGAACCGACCAGGGCATCCTCAGAACGCCAATGAAGCCGCTGAGATCCTCACGGGCAAAGGTGAACGTGGCAGAGGACATCCTTACAGCCAGCAAGAGCGAGAAGACCAGACCTACCGCAACCGTACTTGGTATCGAGATCACCGATACGGATGAAAGCGTTTACGTCTTCTGGTGATGACTTCTACCTGCACGTGATCTGTCACTGCGGATTGCTTCGGTGCCCTCTTTCTTTTGAATGATGCTTTAGGGGATCGCACTGACGTAGAGAAGTCTCACAACATTTCTAATTGGGATATAAAAGCTCAGCGAAGATAAGACTAAAGTTGCAGCGGATATTTTCATTCTTTCTGAACGCGACTCTCTTCCTATGTGAGTAGTGCCGAAGGCGCATCTCATGGGGGGTGCGAACGGACGTCGATGCCTAGTCCAATCGTGGGTATCGCGTAGTGAGCTATGTAGACAAGAGCAACATGACATCGCTTATCCACAACACTGTCCGGGGTCACTAAGTGGACTGGACTAGTGTACCTTGGGGTCACTAAGTGGACCAAGGGTGGAAAGAACACGATGTACATGCATCCGCATTCAATGCAGCATTGGCTCAAGAACGAGCTAAGAGTCAAAGGCTCAAAGCTCAAGAACCTAACTAGCCAAGCTAGCAAGTGATCCAATCAAAGAGTAGCTGGGCTATCCCGCGCACAGACCGATCGACCTTCAGCCGTCGGAAGACAAAGAAGGGTTGAGCGTGCCTGCAAGGGAAACTTCTGGAGAGCAGAGGTATCTACTATATCTCATTGGGCAACCACACATCACCAATATCAAGCTCTGGTGAGGAGGGCAAACTTGGGTATCAACGATATCGGAACCTCACGCATATATCGAGTAAGTAGTTATAGCAAATATTTTAGGAAGTCGATTTAAATATCGTATAATTGGGAGAAAATATATCTAAAATTCTGATTTTACAAGAAATAATTATATTTACAGATAAATAGGCTTGCTTGCTACTGTTTCTGCATAAAAGATTTAGCGGGTTTGGGGATCTGGGCGGCCGGGTTAGACAGGACGAAGAATCTAAACCCTTTAAACTGGCTAAATCCTATAAACTATCCAGCTAGGTGGGTTTGTAGGGATTGGGGGGCTGCGGGGAGCTTAAATTAACTAGCGGGTTTTTTTTTGGGGGGGGGGCTGGGCGGGGAGCCTAAATTAGTTAAATCTTTTAAATCTAGCTGGCTTAGAGGGTTTAGCTGGTTTGGTGTTCTCGGTCTTTTGAACCCGCTTGGCTTATAGAGGATTTAGCGGGTTGAATTAATTTGGGCTCCCCGCCTAGCCTCCCAAACTCGCTGGCGGTTTCTATTCGCTAAAAACATTTATTTATAGATGGTATCCGTACACGATGGTGCTTAAAATAGCTTTGATCGATGCGACGATTACGTACTTGTCGTGGGCTTCGGAATATATATGATCCGCGCGGCTTATGCGGATCTATTATTATATAATATAAAATTTGTTGGTAGTAGTAGTACTAGTAGTAGTAGTAGTCGTCGTCGTAGTAGTAGTAGTAGTAGAGTAGTAGTAGTGATAGTAGTAGTAGTAATAGTAGTAGTAATATACAGACGCGCCACCTTGTGGATTCACTTTGCTTGGGGTGCCTTTCGTGGGTCTGGGGTGCTTTTTCGGCGATCGACGAATCATCTTGCAGTGGGTTGACTTTCGCGGAAGTGGGGGGAAATCGAGCGTGTAGTTGGGGAATGGCTGGTTTGGAATTGCTATAATTCTACGATTTTTTATATAGAGTGGGTGCTTCTGTAAGCACGCATTTGCATGGGGAACGGCTGGTTTTCCCCAAGTTTTCGTGAGACAAATGCATTTCATTTCTATCGTGAGTGGGTGCTTGTGAAATCGAGTGTGTGCATGGGGAATGGCTGGTTGTCGTGTGCTGTGATGCCGATATATGCCGATGCTGCGTGTCTTGAGCGGGTGCTTCGGAAATCGAGCGTGTAGTTGGGGAATGGCTGGTTTTGCAATATTGAGATTCCACGGCTTTTTATGTTGAGCGGATGCTTCTGAAAGCACGCGTTTGTATGGGGAACGGCTGGTTTTCCCCAAGTTTTCGTGAGACACATGCATTTCATTTCTATCGGGTGTTTGTGAAATCGAGCGTGTGCATGGGGAATGGCTGGTTGTCGTGTGCTGCGATCCCGATATATGCCGATGCTGCGTGCGTTGAGCGGGTGCTTCGGAAATCGAGCGTGAAGTTGGGGAATGGTTGGTTTTGTAATGTTATGATTCCACGGCTGTTTGTGTTGAGCGGGTGCTTCTGAAAATAGGCGTCTATATGGGGAACGGCTGGTTTTCCGCATATCTTCGTGAGATAAATATATCTCATTTCCATCGCGAGTGTGTGCTTGGGAAATCGAGCGTTCTTGAGCGGGTGCTTCGGAAATCGAGCGTGTAGTTGGGGAATGGTTGGTTTTGAAGTGCCGTGATTCTACGTTTATTTCCTTGTAAGTGTGGTATTTTATACAATTTCCGCAGTACTTGTCTCGATACTTTTGACACTCTATATATCCGTTCCTGTTAGTAAGCACCTGGGTGATGTGACCATGATGTGACCCCATCGCATCTGCCCAGTAGTTGCTGGTAGCATCTTCCAGCACAAATTGATGTGACTAAGGCCCTTAACTGTACTTTTGGGAAATTATTCTGGGTTTATATATCTAGCTCATATCGTATTGCTGGCCTTTGTCGTGGAGAATAAATTTCGATTGATCTTCTACCCGGGGGACGGAAATGGTACGAATGGTTGGTGGGGTTATAATTCCGAGCTCCGATTAGAGAATCCTTGGCTGGGGTGTTATCAGCAGTTCTTGACGGAGATATATATATATATATATGTGGAATTTCTTGCTCCGCAGAATATCAATATTCTCGCTCGTAATCCTATAATGGGCGTTACCTCTCGAATTGTTGCGTCAGAATATATATCGTTTTGAGGATGGCTCTATAGATGATATTCTTGGCGCTAGTTTGCCCATCTCCGAGTTGTTGTGTAGACCCAACTCGATGCCCTCTGACGCGAAATCAATTAGATCGATGTCGGTGATATTTTGAATGTCCTAATAGTTATCTCTTAGGTCTAATTAGTCGGGTCGGTCTCCATGGCGCAGGTCATATTTGATTCGTTAGTATCGTTGATTATAAATAGGATCGGATAGTCTTTTTATGAAAAATGAATTTTTATTTTATTATCGAGATTAAGAAAATACTACGATTTCGATTTTGATTTCAATCTAGTCTTCGTAGAAGGCGAAGAAGCAGGAAGATAGCGTCGGGTAATCTGCTTGAAATATTTTTTGATTATTAATTGGGGGGAATATGTAATAGATGGTTTTTGAAATATATAAATATAGATTATAGATATATACCGAAATTTTAAAAGATTTTTTAGATATAGGAATGCTTGGGAGAGCAATATTTTGATTTCAATTTTTAATATAAGATTTTTTCTAATAATTTCAGATTAAATATTATTATATGAAAATTCTTCTATGCGAGCTCGCGCGACGACTCTTTTCCAGGAGATTCTAAATAGCACTAATTATGAATTCTAGATTATTCTGAGAGAGATCATATATGTATATATATATATATAAATATATATATATATATATATATTTGAACGATTTTTCGTTAGAAGATTTCCAATATTTCAAAAATACAACTTATAAGTTATTCTATACGAGGTCGCATTTCGATTTGATAATATGTATCTTCTCAGCTCTTAATAATTAATCTTGAATTATAATTAATTGCTCGCTTTATATAATAATATGAAGATAATTCTGTCTCTTGTAGAAGCTCGCTCGCTCTCCATAATTAGTCCGATTCTTTGAAGAGGATAGTTTAGTCTCCTGTAGGCTCGATAACTATTTTTAAAAAATTGATATTTCGACCAGGCGATTTGATAGATCTATTTGGCAAAGTAGATAAGGATAATAGAGAATCAATTATTAGATAATAAGTCAATCTGATTCTTTATAGGAGATATTGGGGATGATGCTTGAATAATAGATAATTTGGATATCATAGTTGGGGAGTGAGAGGTAGGTTTGATAGTTTTAATTTATGATATTCGAATTTGGGTTCGAATTCTTATCATTAAATCCATAGATAAGAAGAAGAACCAGAAGATCTATAGAATATGGCAGCAATATTAGAAGAAGAGGCGACCCCTAAGACTCCGAAGAATCGATTTAATCGACGGGATAATTTTCATTATAGCGAGGCGAATAAGGGGTCGGATACCCAGGAAGATAATCGTCGTATAAGATTTCGTTCAAATAATTCTTTCTATTTCCGAGATTATCATAGTTTCCTTGGAAATAACCTACGTCTATCTTACATTGCCTTCCCCGGGGCTTGGCACTTGGACTGGTCTGAGGATGGCCCTACTTGCTGTCTTGATCCAGCCTGAAATGGAGTGCTTGCAAGATTATTGTGAAATCACGTGAGATGCATGAACAAACATGAAAGGCATGCAAGGTGGCACGTGGCTAGATCTGTCCACCACGTGGCCATTTTGGCTCAAGCCTCCCCGGCAAATCAGTTTGTGAAGTGCCCGGCAGGCGCAATGGCAGGAATGTTGCCGAGTGCAGTTGAACTCCAGCAGCTCACGAGCCTTGAGAATATAGTCCAGTGGGCTGGTCTGGATGAGACTGTATGGCGGGTGGTAAGTAATCACCTGGGTAGCGTTCCTAGCATTCGAGTGATGTCTGGCATGCCTCTTGCCACCATTCGCTATGCCTTCAATAGCCTGCGAATATCCACAACATCGGGTGAACGCTCATTGACATCTGTTGAGGCTATTCAGGTTGGATTGGTGTGGCGTGTTTCAAGGCAGGCTATGGGATTGCAGGACATTGATCCGATGGCAGATCCTGCCGCGACCCCGACAACCACGGGGGTAGCATCGCCTGGGTCTTCTGCTAAGAAGGTTAAGACCAGCTCGGTGCTTGATCAGCTGGACGAGTCCGAAATTGAATTCTTATCAAAGGCCCAATTGGATGAGGCGTTCAACAATTACCAGGACATCACGGGTGCGGAGCCAATGCCGGATGCGGAGCCGACTCTTGAACAGATTGCTGCAATTCATGCCAAAGTGATTGTTCGTGGAGAAGCGCCCTATGCGGATTTCTCGGTACTCACTCCGTTTGGACGGAGGATTCAGAAACAGATGAAGGCCAGGGCGTTCCAGCTTCAGCAAGATGGAATATTCAAGGCACTAGACATCCCTGGACCGCCGTGGTTCGAAGCATGGACGGCTTGCTGGGAAGTCTGCAGAACCTGTTTGCTCATGCTCCGACACCCGGACAGGTCCACTTCCCCTCCTTCGTCGAAGTTAGTTGCCACGTCCGCTTGTTTGGATGAATACTTCAAACGTATATCGAAGCTCAATGCCGATTACCCTGAGTGTTGGCATCTTCTCATGCAGGCTGAGGATAAGGTCAGAGCTGAAATGTTTGAACGTTTCCGCAGACAGCTGTCCGAAGCCTACATCGAGGGCCGTTTGCCTATGGGAATCACCTTTGACGCGAAGGCTCCATGGACGGGAGTGTTCGTGTTTGCTGCACGGAATTGGGAGTATTGGCATGAGCATGTGACCAAGCCTGCGCAAGATTTTCTTGCTAGAGGGGGGAAAGTTATGTCTGCTGACAAGGCGGCGCGGGTGAATGTTCCATTCTCGGCGCAGGAAGCGGTAGACAATGCTATGGGGCATGGTCCACTGGGCACGTCATCAGGGTCCAAGGTTTCTGCATCGTTTGAGGGAAACTCCCGAAATGCCAAGAGACGGCGGCGGGAGAGAGAGAAGAAGGAATCGGAGAAGGCCCAACTTCCTCCGAAGAAGCCGAACCCGGTGTCAAGTCCGCCGGCTAATGTCCATCCTCGGAAGGTGAACGGCTTGTTCGTCACAACGCATGATGGGATTGAGATCTGTTATGCATTCTCGAAAGCTGACGGCTCAGAGCGCGCATGCGAGGAGCCGTGCAAGAACAGGAAGGCTCATTGCTGTCAGATCTGTCTCGGTGCTCATCCAAACAGCCTCTGCCCCCAGAAAGGTGAGGGCAAGGGCGGGAAAGGAGCTGGAAAGCGTAAGTGAGAACCCGGTGCAGCTGCGGGCGGCTCCGAGGAAGTGCCGGCGATCGCGATGTCTGGGATGGCTCCATCTCCGTCTTCGCGGGAATTCACCTTCTTGGAGTTGTTTGCTGGCTGTGCTGGCTTCTCAGGTGCTGTGGAAAGGGTCAATGCTGGATCAGTGCGTGTGTTGGAACCTTTGGAGGAGTATTACGGTTGGGATGGGCTTTCAGAAAGCGGCTTTGATCAAGCAAAGGCTGCAGTTCTGGAGGCGAGTCATGTACATATTGTGTTCCCCTGTCACTCCTTCACTCGGGCCAGGCGTTCGGATCAGTATGGTGCCGTGGAGCAGGTTCGGTCCGATAAGCATTCCGAGGGTTGGGGACATCCAGTGGCAGAAAAGGGCAACGCGATCCTGGTTAAGGCGGTTGCGCTAGCCTGGGTTGCACTTGAAAATGGTGCGACTGTGTCCCTGGAAAATCCATGGTCGTCTTTCGCGTGGGAGCTTAAGGTGATGAAGCGTCTCATGAAGAAGCTTGGACGTCAACCATTTGAGTTGCATCAGTGTGCCTATGGTGCTGAAACCCAGAAGCCGACTGGCATACTTACAAATGCACCTTGGATGGAGGGCATCACCAAACATTGCACGGACGTTCGTGAGCATTATCATCGGCCTGGCGGTTTGAAGGGAAAAGTTTGGGATCCCAGGACGAATGAAATGGTTTGGCGAACCTCACGAGCAGCGGAGTATCCCACGGGTTTGTGCATGGCCTGGGCCAAATCTTTGCAGCAGTGGTTAGCCTCGGATGCCGGGAAGAAAGATCGTGAACGCCATACCTTCGTTCGAGTGGGCACGCATGGCAATGTGCTAGTTCGGGCTAGCTTGAAACGATCTCTGGAAACAGGCGCTACCACTGCTGCAACTGAACCACGCGATGTGGTGAAGGAGGTCAGCAAGGCCGAAACCCGGGAGCGCGAGAACGCGGAGTGTATAGGCGGTCTTAGAGATCCTCGTCGGGCCGTGGCCAGGTTTTCAAAGTTGAGAAAGGTCGGCATGAAACTCCGAATGTGTGTGGACTCTTGTTTGGACGATCAGGTAATGCAGCGCCTGGAAAACTCTAAGGGGGGCTGCCCGCTTCAGGAGAGTCTCATTGCTGAAGGTCGGGGTAAGCTGGCTTCGGCATTCCGGGCGAGTGTAAAGACTGGGAGTGGATATCAGGACGATCTCATCCAGAAAATTCTGGAGGAGGCCGAGGATCCGGATGCACAGGTTGTGCCAGAGTGGATGCGTGAGGGTTTCCCTTTAGGAATCACGCGCCCCATTGTGAACACAGGCGTGTTCCCTCGCACGGATGAAGTGTCTGCATCCATCAAGGCGTCTCAGGTGAGCGGTGCTCTTCTTGAGGATTGGGATGGCACCGCCACGAACTATAGCTCATTTGTTGATGCGGGGCCCAAAGCTGAATCGGAACTCGATCGTCTGGTGACTGAAGGGAGAGCCACTTTGGTTACAGATTGGCACCAGGTCGTTGAAGCGGTGGGACCCAAGGCCAAGCTAACCTGGCATGCATCATAAAGGTGAAGGGCGACCTTGAAAAGGTTCGTTTGGTAGTTGATATGCGCCGTAGCGGAATAAATGGGATGATGCAGCTCTTTGAAAGAGTCGTATTGCCCAGAGTTTCGGATATCGTAGAGTCGCTACGCCATGTTTTTTAGGATCCACGAAATTTGGATAAAGATCTGGAGTTTATGATTGCAGACTTTTCTGATGCTTTCCTCACTTTGAAGCTGCACCCAGACGAACGACAGTGGGTAGTCATCAAGGGCCCCAAGGGCTTTTATCTGGTCCATGCCATCTGCTTCGGATTAGCTTGCGGTCCTGTGTTATGGGGTCGCGTCGCGGCAGTCGCGATGAGGCTCGGGCAGGCGGCAACTCATGACACTGAGGGTCGTAGTCAGTGTTATGTCGATGATCCGTTGTTGTTGGCTCTGGGGAAAACGTCTAGGGAACGTAGCAGAATTTTCGCCAGATTCGTCTTCTTGTGGATATGCTTGGGATACAGTGTCGCATGGCATAAGATTTCTCGGGGCGCTGCTTTGCAGTGGATCGGTGTGTCCTTGACGCTGCACTCGTCAGAACGCAGGCTGATTGTTGAGCTTGCTTCTGATAAGGTGGGCAAACTGTTGGACGCTTTTGCCGAGATTAGAGCTGCCAAGGGTATGATTTCCACTGCGCGCTTGCGACATCTTGCAGGTCTGCTCAGTTGGATTTCCAATTTGGTGCCCAGTGCCAGACCGTGGACTTCAATGGTTTGGGCAGCCGTGCACTCAGGGGAAGGGTCACGGCAATCACGCAAAGCCGACACGCGTCAGCGTAAAGGGCTGACGTATGTGAAATAGGTTTTGCACGCTGTGACTTGGCTTGAGTCCATGGTTCGAACCTCTTCTGAGGGTGCTCGGACGTTGGAATCGAGCGGGATTCCCCCCATGAAACATGTGTATGACTTTAATGCCGAGCCCCCGATGTTCCTCATTCAAACCGACGCGTGCTCGGAAGGCGTCGGAGCAGTCTTGTTTGCAGGGGGCCAAATCGCGACATGGTTTAGCCAGCCCTTGGCAAATGATGACATGCTGGTGCTGGGAGGGGGGGCCAGAGTAGGCGACCCGGCCTATCAAACCGAATTCGAAATGTATTGTGTTATCTTGGTAGTGCGAGCTTTCGCCCCACACTTTAAGGGGCAGCACGTTCGCTTCTTTCTCCAAACCGACAACAATGCAACCCTTCGTGCCGCGCTTGATTTAAAGAGCAAGAGCCCACTCCTAACTTTTCTAGCGTCGGAACTTGTTGTTACCCTGACTGCATTGCATTCAACATCGCGCCCATGTGAGGACGACACCTCCCAGGGATCTTAAATGACCTGGCCGATGCCCTGAGTCGGAATCAGGTGCCGGCTGTGATACAAGGGTGCCCCAGGTGTCGCATCCCCGCTAGGGCCAGGGAACAGTTCCGAGTCTTGCCATCCGCTGTGGAGTAGCTCAAGAGCTGAAGGGAGTGCAGGATTCAACTTATATGTGGTGACAAAAGTGTCTGCTGGAGTCTTGCATCGTTGGTGCTGGCATGCTTACTTGTTGTGTCTGTATATGTGCTCCGCAGCTGTTTTCTCATGTCGGTTGCCCACGTTAGGCGTCGCGAACGTTGTTCAAGAGGGCTGAAAGTAAATGTATGCGACGCCAGAGCAGTCCTAGCGAAGGCTGGAGACAAATGGGTTGCCCGAACAGCCTCGACAAGCACAGGACCGTCAGTGGTCACGTTGCCCGAGGCGTCAGTCTGCACGTTGCCCGAGGCTCGGCCGATGCAGAGTCTTATCTTGTTTGAACGCTGAGGGTAGTGTTTCGGACAGTCTAGGGCAAAATTGTGTACTACCATTTGCCATGCATTTCCCACCAAATGGAGAGACAGTGCAACTGCCTGCGAAAGACGGCGGCGAGAGCGCTCAGTCAGAAAGGTGGGATGTTATCAAACCGTGCGACGTGAAGTCAGCTGGGGACGATGGGGTTCCGGAGGCAACGAGCTGCTTTAAGGTCTGTGGGCTTGTGATGAAGCGCGGGGATGCACCATTGGCTCCTCCAGCTGGCGGCGCCAAGAAGGCGTGGGGATCGCTGGCCACAGCACTGGAAATTGCAAGAGACGATGAAGCTGTTGCCAGGGCTGTTCAGGATTTTGATGACCTGACGTATGCAGTTGGCACCGACAAGTCCAAGAAATCTCACTGGAACACGTGGCAGGCTGTTGCTGAGGCGAGAGGCAAAACTGCATTGCCGATGACGACTAGTTCAATCAGGGAGGTCTCGGGGATCCTTCGGGCCAGCGGCTACAGATCTGGATATGCTTACGCTCTTGAGGCCAAACAGCAACATATGCGTGCTGGTTATGCATGGACAGACCAGCTGGATGTGAGTCTACAAGATGCTAAGCGCGCTCTGCAAAGAGGACTGGGACCCAGCTCAAAGTCCGAGGAGGTGAAGTTGGAATGGTGGGAGACCCTCTGGAGAGTGCGTGTGGATAGATCTTCTCAGAGGCCTGGCTGGCCTTTGGGAGGGCCAACAGCATGGGCGTTTGGCACTATGTTTGTGCTGAGAGAAGTCGAGCTTTCTACGCTCACGATGGGGCCGGAATCCATACAGGTGGACCCGACCGAACGCAGGATTACGCTCGGGCTCTCAGTGTCCAAAGCGGATCCGAAAGCAAGGGGTTGTCGTAGAACGCTGGATTGCACCTGTCGAGGAGTCGTCAGGCTCGCCTGCGCATACTGCTTGGGAATTGCTCTTATTTCAATGCAAGAGAAAAGGCTCAATATGAACATTACTGACCCCCCGATGCTGGGAGGCGCCACTCATTGGAACAGTTGCAGATCCTTGGATGTTTGCGGAAAAGGAGGCGGTTATCGAGGCTGCGCAGTGGGACGTCCGGGAGCTGCTCAGACTCAACCCAGACCTGGAACTGAAGTTGGACCCAGACGGCGTGACTGGCCACTTTATGCGCAGGTCTGGGGTGAAAAGGTTAGCGCGATCTGGTGTGCCTGTGGAGATTATCCAGTTCATGTCCAGGCACAGTAGTCAGGCGGTGTTTGATTACATTGAAGGCGCTATGGAAGAGTGCCCTCAAAGGCATGAGATGCTGGCCAAATACCTTGCAAACAAGTCTGAGCTAGACATGATGCGGGAGCAGTTCTCAGCGCTGGACAAGCGAGTGGCCAAAGTAGAAGCTTCTAGCTCACAAGCGGCTGGAGATCACGCAGTGCAGATTGTTGTGCAGAATGGTCTGGAGCCACAGATGCTGAAGGCGGAGATTCAGAAGATCCTTCGTCCTCCTGCAGTGCTTAATCAGAGTACCGGTAAGGTTCATTCCACCCGAGGCTGTGTGTTCAGAGGGTCTCCAGCGTCGTGGACTACGGCGTGTGGATGGCCGTGGGTCATGGCGGCATGTCCCACGGTGGAGTTGGATCAAGAGCAGCTTGAAAGTAAAGATTGGTCTTTCTACGAGAAGTGCCTTTGGGACTAGGAAGATTCGACCTGATGTCAAGCAGGCATGGCGGAAACAAGGGAGTGGACCGTTGCGTTTACTCATCGGCTCTTGAGCGCAATATGTGCAGCATGAGTTCGGTGAGTGCTGAGCCCGTGAGCCATGCGGAGGTCCGAGGGACCAGCTGGCGAGCGAGGCGAAACACGTGATCACCACAAATGCACGGCACTAAGACTCGTGAACGCGCTTCCGCCAATTTGTGAGCGTATAAAAATAAGGGAGGTTGGGTGGGGGATTCATATGCCTGGTACATGTTTGTTGTGAAATCACGTGTGATGCATGAACAAACATGAAAGGCATGCAAGGTGGCACGTGGCTTGATCTGTCCACCACGTGGCCATTTTGGCGAAAGCCTCCCCGGCAAATCAGTTTGTGCCCACCCGCCCAACCCAGTGAGGACCGCTGCGGTCACTCATCGGCTTTTGAGCGCAGTTGTACAGCATGAGTTCGGTGAGTGGACCGTTGTGTTTACTCATCGGCTCTTGAGCGCAATATGTGCAGTATGAGTTCGGTGAGTGCTGAGCCCGTGAGCCATGCGGAGGTCCGAGGGACTAGCTGGCGAGCGAGGCGAAGCACGTGATCCCCACAAATGCACGGCACTAAGACTCGTGAACGCGTTTCCGCCAATTTGTGAGCGTATAAAAATAAGGGAGGTTGGGTGGGGGATTCACATGCCTGGTACATGTTTGTTTACTCTTCCTGCTTCTGAGCGACTATCTGGTCGTATTGACTGTGATTTCATTCAAGATATCTATCGTCTGGATCTTATAAGTCAAGTGGCCTCCTTCACTACGAGTCTTTTACCTTGTGGCTTATTTGATGCAAGTAAGTATCTGAGATCTGGATAGGGCCCGGGTAGCTTGCAAATCTCCTACTTGCACCCTTTGAAGTGGGGTTGTTGCATGTAGGCTGTCTAGTGTCCAGGCGGAGGTGAAGCAGTCAACTAGGTTGACTGCCTCCAATGCTAGTTGCCAGCGGTAAATGATTGAGTCGACGACTGCAACTATCCGGGATTAGATCCGGGTGGAATAGTCGTGAAAAGTTGCGGCTACGCCTTCCTTAGCTTTCTCCAGGTCTTCATCATGGTGCCTGGCACCTAGTCCCCTGCCTTGCGGACTATATGCTTGCCTTTCATCTAGAACTCCCCGTCTGCCACCCACGTGCGGTCCGGGCTGATGATCTCCAGCATGCAACGCAGGCCATAAACGACCAGGATGGAAGGGCTGGCTGCGCCTTCCGGCTCCCTGTTTGACTGGAAGTATTTGCAGATCTTCTGTCTAGCGACGAAGGAGACATGCCATCCGCCGGGCCTTCTGCTTGGATGCGGCTGATTTCTTATTGGCCCCTGTCTTGGACTTCCCTTGTTTGGCCAGCTTGTCTTCACGCCTGACCCTCCTCTGTTCCGCGGCTGTCTGTAGTCTGACGACGCTGGTGAGGATTTTGCCTGGATTCGGCTTGAACCAGATTGGGATCTAGAGATTCATGGTTATGACCGTCTGGGCCTTGCTGGTCGCAAAATCGTGCAGCTCCAACACCGGAAGGTCGTTTGAGCCCCGTGGGTAGGCTGCCTGCTGCAGTATCTGATCAAAGATCCTCCAGCAAATCTCCCCAGTCAGCCTCTCCTCTGTTGCAGTGAAGTTCTTCGCCTGCTGGCAGGACCGGTTGCGGAGCTGGCACTTCAAGCGCACTTCACGCAGAGACGGGCTTTGCATCTGTCTTTCTTTTTATTTTTCTCTTATGGCTTCCAGCTTCTTCTGCCCCGTTTTTGAGTGGCTGCCTGCCTTCTGGTCTGCTGCTCTGACTGCTATGCGGGGCTGTAGCCTGTCTAGGAAGTGACCCAAGGCATCGTCCGGCGTCACTACCTGGAGATTGGACTGTTCGTAGTGAGCCCACGCGGTTGTCTCGTTCCACTTAGGCTTCAAATAGTCTGGCTTGCTCACAGCCTTGCTTGGTTATGGCAGCCTCTTGCCGAGTCTTTTGCCGCCGAGCTTGAGGAAATTCAAGGGATTGGGTCTCAGACCACATTTGCCCTGCACGTCCATCTCCACCCACTGACGGATTCTCTCTCTCTCTCTCTCTCTCTCTCTCTCTCTCTCTCTGTCTCTCTCTCTCTCTCTCTCTCTCTCTCCTTCCAAATGAGGAGATCCCTCGCCATATTATATTGCGGGAGATGCCGTATCGTTGCTACATGATCCCCTCCACTGAAAGCTTGCTCTGCTTCTTGACTTCTATCATCTCGTCCACTTCTTCGTAGAGAACGACTTGGCCATGGCTGAGAGATTTGATTATTTTTTCATCATATGTTTTGGAATTTTCAGCGGCCTACCCTTCGTAGCGATCCTGGACCTACCTACTTTGCCGTTTGATATGATCGGTGCCAAGGCGGTTACTTGTAGTCCTGGCAGCTGGCTACCTGATCCACTACGGCTTGCGCAAGCTGGAGCTACTGTTGACCTTCTTTATGGGCTCGGTCGGTAGCAGACGGGTTGAGCCTTGGCCTCGCCTCCATCTACTCTATCTGCTCTATCCATATATACCTACATCCAGTCAGCCCGATAAGAGAGCGATGGTGGATTGGGAATTGGAAGGCGCGCCTGCGTGTCCTCGAGCTGCCTCTGTCTAGTTACTGACGATATGCTATCAGAATGGAACAGAAACAGCTGCTTGCGCGAAATCTTGCATGGCGGCTGCCCCCCTGGAATATTCGACCCCTTGCTCACCTCGCTGCAGTGAAAGCTATCCCGTCGGCTAAGCCGACTAAACGGAGTCTTAGGGGTCGCCTCCTCTTCAGATATTGCTACCGTATTCTATAGTTCTTCTATCTATTGTTCATTGTTCTTGCCTATTAATTTGCGAAGGCGTTTGGAATCCAGGTTCGAATATTGTAAGTTGAAGTTATGAGGCTTACCTCTTATTCAGCAAATATGAGATCCAGGCTGTCTGCTACTCAAACCACAGCCTCCTGCAAAGAATTCAACTAATTTACTATCACGTAATTGATTCTATGCTCAGGAAAATCAGCTTGCTCGCTTGGCCGGAACCTCAGCTTAGCTTATCTCTAATTCACAGGCTGCTGCCGAGCCTACAAGAGATTGTGCTGTCCTCTGCAAAGAGCCAGAGGGAGCGAGCGAGCCCCTATAGGAGACTATGCTATCTTCTATAAAGACCCGGACTAGCTGCGGAGAGCGAGCGGGCAAATTATCTATTTATCTGACTGACGGTATCTGACAACTAACAACACTAACAACGACAACTAATTAATTAATTCCTACCGTGCAGATATCATGCATATTTCATTACTGTCTCGGATCTCGAATCCAAAACTCCCAGCGTAGGCGAATGAAAAGGACTAAAACGTCGCGCGTGGCATTTTTAGGCCGATATATACAAGACTGGAAATGCTATTTCGAGATACAGTTTTTAAGATTGGAGCGAGATTTTTGTTATATCACGCCAGAAGCTACTTCAACAGATATGACATCTCGCAGTGAAAAACCCAGAAGGAAAACCTCAAATTGATGCTTATATCCAAGCCTCCTTCTCCGAAGAAGCGCTCTTAAGGACAGAGAAGTACATAGCATTAGATAAGAGAGGTAAAGTTGAGATACAGAATCTCTTCCTTCCTGCAAGTCTCAGACTCCAGGTGTCATTTTGCTCAGCCCTCCTTCGGTGCCGACTCCTCAACCAAATCCACCGGGTGGAGCGGGCGGGAGACGAAACTTTGCATGGAACGACCTGATTAAAAATTCTTATGATCGCAGGCACCAGTTCAGACAGGCATGCATGTCCCTCCTGTCACATGATTCCATGTGATCAGAGCGAGATTTTTGTTATATCACGCCAGAAGCTGCTTGAAGAGATGTGGCATTTTGCAGTGAAACACCCAGAAAGAAAACCTCAAATTAATGCTAGTATGCAAGACTCCTTCTCCGAAGAAACGCTCTTCAGGACAGAGGTGAATATAGCGTCACATGACAGAGGTAAAGCTGAGATAAATAACCTCCTCCTTCCTGCAAGTCACAGGCTCTAGAGGTGGTTTTTCTCAGCCCTCCTTCACGTTTCCAGCCTGCCTAAAGCCGCTCACAGGAAAGTTGCTGCACGGTTGGCCAGTGCAGTCTACCACGCCAGTAATTTCAGATGCGCCACGGTAGCCACAGCATCCTGAACATGCACCCTCGCAGATGAAGTCGAGGTCCATTTTCCTCGTAACAATGTGCGCTCCATGCCCTGGCACGATCTCTGCGGCGCAGGGAGTAAATAATATTGAGGTTGGAGTCACAGAGACCAAACTCTGCAACTTGAAGCATGTATGGAAGAAGTCAGCATCGCAATAAAGAACGAGCTGATCACGACTCTTGTTTGCGCAAGCCCGGCTGAAGCCATCGGACCGCCACCCGACTGTTGACATGACGACTATCTCCTGTTGCCCTGTGCGTTTGTTCCAGCCGCAGCATTGCTAGTTGAGACAAAGGTGACGTGTCTTACACGGAGGTGGTAAAACTTGCCGCTTTGCAATATACCATCGAAGCAGACCAAAAGACCTGCAACGATTTCCAGCAAGTGCAAAGCCGCCGCGAGGCCTGCCATGCCTAGCACCAGCAAGAGGCTGAATGGGAGCACCCTCTTGGGAGGCTCCAACCGCCGCCAGACTTTTTCATATTTCCATATTATTTTAAGCCTATATTGAAGTCTCGCCAACCCATCGCTGGTCAAGCCTTTGTGCGCTCTATCAGCATAGAGAAACTCAATCTAGTCGGCGGCAGCTTCACGAACTTGGCTGGTCCTTTCAGCTTGCAAGCCGACATCCGCTACGAAGGAAAGAAATGTAAGCACCGCATGCGAGTAGCGTGATCGCAGGCCCTCTCTCACCATTTGCTGGTGGAGCATCAGGTTCGGTCGTTCTCGTGCGGGATATTGTCCAACCATCTGCTCGGAATATCGGAAGGGTTATTCCCGGTATTTAAGGACTCGAGGTGCCC